CACGCAGTCCTCAGCACGGTCGCTAACACCTTGACTTGGGAGGTTGGTCCGCGGCGACGACCTTCGTCGCTACCAGTCTGGGTTTTAGCCCCGACGAGCCACTTATAATCGTCACTACCCACACCGAAGCACAAGTCACGTACGATCATTCAGGTGTCTGTATGGGCTTTCCCCTATCCGCCACCCGGGGACGCGCCCGATGGGTGCCTAACCACACGGGCTTATTGATATTTTTTAGTAAACCCTTCCGACTTCCTTCCTCTTCTTATTCTAAGTGTGTCGAAATGAGTCTATACAAAAGCATTAAGGTGTGTGGCTGTCTAGGTGGCTGTGTGTACATCTACGGTTTTAGTTCCGAATTATAAATGCATTTGACCAGGATATGTCCAAAGCATTATTTGTAGACCAATTCCGCCGGAATTAGCCCAGTTAGTTTCGGATTAAGCTCACCTTACGTTCCGATTCAAAATCTATAGTATACCTATAGGCGCTCTTCAGTTATTAGGGGTGTCCCTTTTCTCCAAATCCTAATAAAACTATGCAGAGTGTTAGATGACCGCATGTAACAAAAATTGGGTGATAGCGGGGACCAAGACAAGCACACTGGAATTAGTTTTTGAAAATTCGAAAAAAAAAGTTCCACTACAATTCTTGGCCGGTCAACGAAAATGTAGGGAATTCCACGAAATTTGTTGTGTACATACTTGATGAGTTAAGGAACAAAATTGTCGAACAGTTAAAATAACTTTTCAAACAAAAGTTATACTTATTTTGAGATAGGGTCTTCGGGTTACAAAGTGTCCCTCGCCTACTAGTGAGTGATGTAATTTCGCATGTTGTTAATTGAATCATATGACCTGAGGCGCCAGACACTAATAGTTACACACTGTTTTTCAGTTAAAAGGAACTTAAATTGAATTTTGAAATTATTGCTTGAACATACGAGGGCTATTCTATCCACTATCCAGTAAGTAACAGACGTTTTGAATTAAAAAATTAAGAAAGTGTTAAGAAACAACTTTCATTATATACATTTGGAAGCTACACTCTTAGGCTAGTTTTCAACATAGTCACCATTCATATTGAGGCACTTACCACGTGGTACAAGTGTTTTGATTTCAACTTTGTATACACCCGCCGCCTGAGACTTTAACCACTGGTTGTCGCCGTCTCGAAGTTCGGCATCACTGTCCATGAACTGTGTTGCGAGCGAGGTCTTCATCGCCGGGAAGAGGTGGAATTCGCTTGGCGCTAGTATGGAGGGTGATCCTTTCTCCAATCCAAAATCATCCAAGAGCTGTCCAGTGCGGTTGACTGTGTGCGGGCGGACGTTGTCGTCGAACAACAAAACTTCCACCTCTTCCCAGCGATGACGACCTACCTCGCAACGCAGCGGTTCGATAGGGGCGCCGAACGTGTCGGCGTTACTAAGTGCAGGTTCAAATCTCAGGCGGCGGATTTATAAAAGTTGGAATCAAAACACTTGTGCCACGCTATGACAAGTGCTTCAATTTGAATGGCGCTTGTGTTGATAAACAGTGTAGCCCCCAAATGTATATAATAAGAGATTTTCTTTACAAGTTTAAAATTTTTTATTTCAAAACGTCTACTACTTTCTGGACAACCCTCGTATTTTGAGGTATAAAAGTAATTCATTAAAGAATCTATAGCTATTTGAAAAGAAAAGGACCTTTCGAAAATATCGGTCTTATGAGTTGGGGGAGTGATTCCACCTTTATACCTCAGGTTTAGATTATGTTACATCCGTCCCATAGACAATTTTATCTGAAAGGTAAGCAGGGAATCCTGTAGTTATAATTCTACAATATGAGCACATAGTTGGTAATAATCTCTGGTATGTACATGCATATTGCATAGGTAGTTACTTAGGACTTTTGACTATTGACCACCGTGTTTTCGTATGGTGTTAATAAGTAAACGTAAGTAAATCTGAACGTGGGACTGACCGACCCAATGTTTGAGTACCATAGAAGATATACGGCCATCATTACATTCCATGTTATACCGACGGTGTGACTTGTGAGTTGCAGGTGAGTAGTTACGTTTTAATCATTTTATGATATTAACAAAAAATGTTTTCGTTGCAAGCTTTTCAGTACACAATGGCCGTGATGTACTGCACACACAAATTTAAAGCGGAGTATGTACAATATCACCTGTGCTCGTGTTGTATATTTATAAATGTTTCAGGAGAGGCAGTTTACTTTTCGGCAAGCTCGTTATAATAAATCGGTTCACAGAATCTGTTAAATTTGTAACATATTTCGGTAGATTTTGCTATCGCAGGCGTAAGCGATGTTTGTTCAACCGCTATTTTTGTTGACCTGATCCGTTAAGTTATATTAAATGTAATTTTCAACAACTTCAACGCCTTCTCACGTTTTAAACGGTTTCTATTAGACAGATATGAATGCGCTAAACTATAAATTGTCGTTTTCAAATTTGATTAATGGAAGTTGTCGCCAACTCGCTGCAGATGTAGAGGAATGATGCAAGCTGCCGTGCGTGTAATTCTTCCTAACAAGTACTGACGTTTGCGATATTGGCATAAAATGAACAGGTGATAACGGGGGTGGACTAAGTGATACCTCTTGTATTAGTCGATGGATGGACAGGACAGGTGTCTGACTATTGCAGCTTTCGAAAATGTTTCAGCTGTCTTGACCATTGTAGTGGTCATTCAAATGCCATAATCATAATTCATATAGCTATCGGATGATCTAAACATTTATTCACCATTCATCATAATTTATCAATATTATTTTATTAATGCTGTTGGAACTTTCCACAGTTGCGTAAATATATAGGTATTTCGAAAAACCGGTCTTAATTGAATGTAATCTTCTGAGGAAGTTTATAATTCTTCTTGTAATTGAAAGATACATACATAGGAAACACGGTTCACGGAAAAGGTGAAAACAAAATCACAATATATACAAAGATAAACTGTGTTTCAGAAAACGTATATAAAATACGAACAATAAAAACGGTACATTACGCTTTAGGACAAGATGGGCAAGCCCTCTTAATTTGATAGAATCATTAATAATCACGATATTTACAGGTATTAGATCTAGAAAGTGAAAATCGCATATTTATTTTTATGAATATATTATTAAGTGAAAACGGCATTAATTAAGTAACGGGCGTTTCACAATATATTTTTTCTGGTCAGTTCGCCTCTGTTTGGAAGGTGTCACAAAAACGGGTAGCTTTTTTAACATTGCCAAAATTATCACGCTGTCAATCTTCCTACGACACGTTTCGTATTTCTGTGAGTTTTTACAAATCAAAATCAGATTTTTTCGAAAGTTTAAAGTAAGTATTTTCTTTGTGTTTTTATTCCCACGTGCTCATTTTATGGTGAAATAAACCCCTAAAGCCGATCTAAAGAAGTGTAAATTGTGCACAACTCTTGTGCGGATAAAGCGTATTTTTTTAACCGAAATAGCTTTTGTTTTGACATCACCAATTGATATATTTCTTGCAGATGTCTCAATCGCCCGTTGTGAGTACCCTCTTCCGGCAATCCGTTCTTGAGGTATAAGGGAATATACCCGATCACGATAAGAGGTCGAGGAGGAGGGCTATGGTTGGTAGAAATTAATTCCTTTCGTTGAGACCTTACATTAGAGTACCATGAAGGATAAAACTAGTTCCACCCTCCCCCCTCCACCCCGTACTTTGATAAGAGAACAGAAAGAAGGGCAGTTGTTTGTAGAAAACTGTTCCTTTCGTTGAGACCTTTAATTAGAATACAATGACAGATAAAATTAATGTTTAACCCCCCACTCCCCCTCCACTTCCTAAAGTTTAACTTAGCACCACTAAAGGCATGCGTATGCAAAATCTGAGACCAATTGGTTGTCGTATGCAAAAGCTATGCACGTTTTACTTTCAAAAACAGCATCTCGGGAAAAAATTCGTGGATGGGCCCCCCTTTTAGACAGCGAAATTTGATGGCCGTCTGGCACACCTTCGGTATAGGCTACCTACTGCAAAAAGTTCCAGGACTCGAGGACCATTCCCCTAGAAGTAGTTCAAAAGGGTAGATGTGGGTCCGGACGGACGGACAAAACGCAAACATTTTTCTAATTCTTAAAAAATACGCTACATAGCGGCAGAGCACCGCGGTGTGACTCTACGGGGTCATTGGATTTGACCCATTTTTATTAGGCTTGTTACATGTGGCATGTAGGTCAACTGTGCAAAGTTTGGACTGAATAAGTTCAAGCATTCGACAGTTATCGTGTTCACAGACGGACACCATCGACTCCCCTTTGCTCTGCCGCTTAATAAGCTGACAGTATTGATAGTTGACCTCAAAACATACACCCTTATCATCATTGACCCTACTTCCATGCTACAAAGTGAAAACCAGTTAGTTACTACCACAAAATTATTGAACTACCGTTACCAATGTCAGTCATAACTCATAGATCATTATTAAGCGGCAGAGCAAAGCGATGGAAGCTTTATAAGCGAGTCCGTCTGTCCGTCCGCAAACACAATAACTGCCAAGCGCTTGCACCGATTCGATTCAAATTTTGCATAGTTGTCTTACATGCCACAGTTTACAAGCCTATTGAAAATGGATAAAATGCAATGACCCCGTAGGGTCCTCCACTCTGCCGCTTTTCTAGATCCGCTTACACGTGGTTTATTTAAGTCGGAAGCATCGACGTCGTTGACATGATAATAACGCGTAAAAAGTCACATGAAATTTATTTTTGAAATTTCTGCCAGTGCTTCGGCATTAATTTGGATTTGGATTTGCCACGTTTCAACCCCATTTTTTATTCCTGAACCATCTTGTTTGCGAAATGGTCGGAATTTCCGACTTGTCAGCGAAAATTTACTTCTCGTCCTTGGTAAACAATATACTATTATCGCCTCCCTTTGAATTTCAAGAATCTGCTTATGCGTATCGCGTATCACGTATCGCCTGCAATACATCGCTTATCGTATATTGCTTCAGTATGAACCCCGCCTTAGGCCAAGTACAGAGTCTGGCTCCCAAGCAAGCACACGGTGCGGACGGTCAAGCATGTGAAGTTCTTGACAGGTCCATTGATTGAGAATTTGGAGGAACGAGCTGAAGTGCATACTCTAGAGATTCACACTGAGGTAGAAGATGAGACTGTCAAACAAGGGTAAGCAGAGAAAGTGGTGGTTGAACCAAATCCAGCGGAATTGAATGACGAGGTGGAGCTTAAGCAGGAAGATCTGGCAGATCCAGTGCCAGAAGACGCTCCGGTTAGAAACCTTCGACCACGTGAGAATCTAAAGGCTCCTGAGAAACTCAACTTGGTGGCAGTAGCGATGATAACTGCAAAGGAGGCAATTCAGATCGATCATGCTGATGAGTGGAAACTTGCGATGCAGGACGATCGACAACCACGTGCAGATGGCGCGCCGGGGAAACGACTGCTACCAGCCAAGTGGGTTCTGAAGCTGAAGCTTGCAGAGGACGATAAAGTCTCAAGATTTAAGGCAAGACTAGTTGCATTAGGATGTCGACAGCGCATAGATGAGTTTGGTGAGACTTTTTCTCCAGTGGTCAAGGCAGACACTTTCCGGTTCGTAATGCGGATGACATCCCAGTACAATATGAGAATCAGCCAATTTGATGTAAGGACAGCTTTTCTTCATGAGGAGGTGTACATGCGGCAGCCTGAAAGTTTCGATGACAGAAGCAGTCGAGTCTGACTTCTAAAAAGAAATCTCTATGGTCAGAAGCAAGCTCCAAAGTTCTAGAACGTGAAGATCCATCAAAAGCTGACTGAGATAAAATCAGACGTAACCAAGCAGATCCGTGTATTTATATTCGGGAAGAGGATATGACAGTGCTTCTATTGTACGCTGCTAATGGACTTATTCTTGGAAGAGAGCAAACCAAAATTGAGGAGGAGCTCGCAGCACTGAAAACTGAGTTTCAGATAACACTTGGTGATGTCTCGAGTTATCTGTGGGGGGCAGATTAAGCGCGGTGCTGATGGTGCGGTATTTCTCCACCAGTCTGCGTACTTGGACCGCGTGCTGCAAGATTTCCAGATGGAGTGCAACTCCGTGAAACTACCGGGGGAAAATCATCGAGAAGAGGACAAAACACCACGTCTGGAGGAGGAAATGAAGAAGGAGTACCAGACGGTGGTTGGAAAACTGATGTATGCCGTCTGTTATACAAATAACTTTATAAGACGAGGCAGAAGGACGAGAACGTGTCGTATATAGACGCGGACTATGCAGGAGATCAGGCTGATCGAAAGTCAACTTCACGTTTCGTTGATTGGAGGAACAGCGGTCACCTGGGCAAACAGAAAGCAACAGTGCGTAGCGCAATCTATCGCACAGGCTGCACTAATTGCTGCAGGCAAAGATCATACTACACTAGATAGACAACGCTGTATTAATTTTATACTCCCATAATTCGTTCGTCACAATAAATCGACTGCGTACCTCAGAGGCTATGTTTTTATTACAATAGTACAAACTACCTGGCGGGGTACAAAGACGTGCGAAATTGTAAAGCGCAGTATTTTGATTATTTATTGTTTTCCATAGCATGATACGATCTACTTTTAATAGTGTATTGAATATAATTGTTAATTTAACTTTCATAGTGAATTTTCGAAAATGGCCTTTAAATATGTTAAATTTGCCACAGTTACACTATTACCTATTTCACTAGACGTTGTTTTCCATGACAAACTTTGCTTATTTACCTCTCGATAATACGAAAATTCCTGCAGCGCGTTTATTTATTAAAGTATATTTAGCAAGCCTTATATCGTTATAAAGAGAAAAATTTGTCCACTTTAAAAATGTCAAAGCCAACTATGATGATCATTAAAAAAATTAAAGTTTGTATTATAACTCAAAAATTGTAAACTATAGAAGGAAATTGGTATGTTCATAATGGTAAGCATTAAAGTGTCTAAAACTTTTATTCGTGTCATTTTGTTGTATTTCTAATAATAACTATTCTACAACAGTTAAATGAAAAATCACTGTTTTTCGCTCATATCTAGTAAACTGGGGGTTTTTTCAAAAAAACAAAAGCGTATCTTCAATAAGCTCTTAAAACTACAAATCTTTCCTCATTTAACCGAATCTGTATGTCTTATGGTTTCCGAGATGATCCCAATGCTTAAAATGAAAAAAAAGACTCACCTTGTATATTAATAATAGTTTACAACAAACCATTAAGTGATCCCCCAAATTTACAATGGGACAGAAAGACAGAAACAGATGTTAATACAGTTTGTTGGGGTTCAAATGATCTTGCTCCTTAATTATAGAGAAATTCCGATTTTCAACTCACAAAATTTGAAATCAAACTCATGTTTTTAACATTTTTAAGTTCAATACTTATAAAGGTACAATTTGTTATGAATTTTATGAAGTTATTCATTGTCCTTTTAACCCTCGCGTAACCAAGACACCCTGGCGTATTAAAAATAAACCCATAAAGAGCGTTTAAAAAAGCGGCAGAACACCTTGGTGTGACCCCACGGAGTCATTGGATTTGACCCATTTTCAATTGGCTTGTTACATGTGATATATAAGTCTACTGCAAAGTTTCAACCGAATAGGTTCAAGCGTTTGGCAGGGGCAGAGAAGCGTGACCCCACGGGGTCATTAGATTTGACCCATTATCAATAGGCTCATTACATGTGGCATATAGGCCAACTGTGCAAAGTTTGAACTAAATAGGTTCAAGACTTTGGCATAGACAGAGAGGCGTGACCCCAAGGGGCCATTGGATTTGATCCATTTTCAATAGGCTTATTAGTTAATACTTGTGACATATAGGTCAACTGTGCAAACTTTGAACCAAATCGGTCTAAGCGTTTGACAGTTATCGTGTTCACGGACAGACGGACACCTTCGACTCCCCCATAAAGCTTGCATCGTTTTGCTCTGCCGCTTAATAAAGTCAATCCCCCCCATTTTGATATGTGGGAAGGGAGAAAGGAGGTAAAAAACAGTTCCTTTCGTTGAGAATACTTTGAAAGATAAAATCAATAACCCCCCCCCTCCAGCCTGTTTTCAAAAAAGAATCGCGGAGGTGTTTGTATTATTATTATTATTATTAAACCAACTCCGTTCAATGAGATCGATTTCAGCAAATTCCGACTCGCTTTACCTCGGCACAATTTTATTACGTAGGAGACTAAACGGGATCTGATCCCGTTTACCTAAGCAGAAAATGTTTAATTACCACCATTCTAAATTAGATAAATGTACGGTTGCAATGTAAATATGCCTGAGTATATAGGTATTTAAAGATTAGGTGAAGTATCGTAGGTACCTGAAACTTAAACTTTTACAAAATTATGCTAAGAAAAAAAGACTTTTGCAAATATTCATTTCATCCGAAAAATTTGGAAAATGTATTGGTTGGCGTTGTTTAAAAAATACAAAGGGAAAGTGTAAATCCTCAAATTATGTTTTTCATTTTTACGTCTGTAACAGGACCTATCTTTTCCTGAATTACGCCCACGTATACACATGTAATTTTATCATAATGAACGTGAGGAATGTCAGTAGGTCATGTTTACGTGTCTCGTCTTTAGACAATAACCATTCTTTGTATTTATGATGTGATTCAAACTCGTACGAAGACGGCTTCGGATGCCCCCTATAACATTTTTATGGAACTACTTAAACACGAAACAACTCTTGCATTTACGCTGGCTATCTAGTGTCGTATGATATTTGCTGCAGGTCAGACTGCGAAGGATGTCGTGTGGCTACAGAAATTGTTTGATGACACAAAAAGAAGAGATGAGACGACGAAGCCAATTCTGAAAATCGACAATATCGGCTGTATTGATCTAATTCAAAGTGAGCTGATAACAGACGAACGAAGCACATCGAAGTGTGATTCTTCTGGATTCGAGATTTGGTAGCTGAGATTAGATACACAAAATAAATAATTCAGTAAAATTGTCAATACAGGTACTTAAAAATTTCGATATAAAGATAAGTACATAAGTTTAAAAAAAGTATCGATACTTTTGCAGTACTCACATGAGTAGGTATCGCAAGATGATTTGAGTACTACTCATTTGAAAGGTATCGATACTTTCGTGGTATCGGAACATCGCTAAGTAGCTGTAAAAATTGTGTTGGTTTGACAATACAAAAATATTAAAATCATAACTGAATCTTGTTTTTAACTTTAAAGTAAAGAAGCCTCGATATTGTACCAATTCTTCTGTCGCATTTTGTTTGGAATCTGCTGATTACAACATTTTTATGTCACTCATTTCCTACCTTACAATCATTTATTAAATTTGAAATAACAGACAATATTAGATTAGATTAGAAATGTAGGACCTTTAGCAACTCGCTACTGGATTCATTTGTTTACGTTGTTTTACAGCAGCGATGACATTCGCCCTAATGTGAAATTTTTATCATCTGTCCAAATCAAAATTTGTCGGATGATAGCTGATGCCTGTAAATTTAGCTTAACATCTATAAGCTGAGTACATCTAAATCTTTGCAAACCTTTTTGTTGCTGCAAACAATTGGAAGCTATTATGGAGAAATTGAAATTTAATAATATAGACTTCTGCGATAAATAAATTACCATTCATTTAGGGCAAAATCGTTGCCCCGAAAACATGAAGAACCTCGATTATTTCGTCCGTTCCGTTGAATAGTGTAAAATGTCGCAAATTTTAACCGCGTTCTGTAATGACTGTAATTAAGTTAGTATCGCTGGCAGCGTTTAGAAAGATTTGTCCCAATAAATACAATGTCCTTCACCTTCAATGCCGCATCGTTTTTCTCTCGTTGTCAATGATCCATAACGGGAAACATAATCAATGAAGAAAGTATCTTAACGTCGAAGACCTGTTATAAATGTAAGTTTCCTGCCGAAACTAGAAAACAGCAACTGTGCCAAATTCCAAGCGATTTTAATCTCGCGAGAGCAAAATGTGTAACTTTCGTTTGCCGATTCCATCACACGTAACAATGTGAAGAAGCTCGGATATAATGTTTCGTAACGCACAATGAATTTGAATATTTCACCGGAAAAAGTGCGTTTCCGCAATCATAAAGATGGGACAATTTCGATAATAATTACCGTGAACGGAGTGAATGTGACCTTCACCATGAGAGAAAGAGTTGCCTTCATTTTTATCGGAAATTAAATTGTAGCAGCTAGAACTCCTTTCTCCGCATCCCGACGAAAGTGACAGTGCTCCGAAAGTTCCTAAATAAAATATTGACCAAAAATGTCACGGAAATACCTTAATAATTTATGTAGCCGCACAAAAAAAGTGACAGCTGCTTCCCGAAATTAGATTTATTTGTGCATGCAGACTTTGGAGTAATCGTTGCAACGCTTGGATTAGGTAAATTAGAAGGTATGGTCATGGACAAAACCGTAATTAAGTTCAGTGAACTGGCGTAAATGTATGCTCTCTTTTTAACTGGATGATGTGCCTTTTTATTAATTTTATTGTATACTAATATCAGTCCTTTCACTAGGCCCCACCTAGAGCATCCTATAAAAGCCGCCGGATTTCTGATGATCATCACAGTTTTCAGTTCTCTTCTCGTTGAGCTCAAGTACCACAAAATGCATTTCTTCGTAAGTATGATCAGTTGTGAAGTGTAATATGAGGTAACGTGTACGTTTTGCAGGTGGTTGTAATGGTCGTGGGTTTTTCCTGTGCCGTTAATGCCGGTTTCGCCAGTCATGATGCTGGAGGTTACGGCGGCGGAGACTTTGGAGGACATGGCGGCGGCTTTGCCAGTGGCAGTGGATTGGATTTAGGAGGACACGGTGGAGACATTGGCGGTGGCGGATTTGAGGAACACCATCACGGGGGGCACTTGGAAACAAAAACTGTTGAGGTTACGAAACCGGTGCATGTACCAGTCATTAAGAAAATTGGCATTCCGGTGCCGCATCCAGTTGGAGTTCCGGTACCGCAAGTCATAAAGGTTCCGGTTCCCCAACCTTACCCTGTACATATACCGGTTCCACAGCCGATTGCAGTTCCTATCTACAAATTAGTGCCGCAAGAAATCGAGAAAAAGGTTCCCATTACTATTGAAAAACCAGTCCCGTATCCAGTGGAAAAGCCCTACAAAATTGAAATCGAGAAACATCATCCAGTTCACATCGCCAAACCATACCCCGTTCATGTACCGGTCTACAAACACGTGTACCACCACGTCCCTAAACACGGATGGCAATAAATGCCGCAATTTGTGATTGACTGTACTTCCATCGCCATCATATTTCATTCATTAATTTCATCTTGTTGTTATTGTTGTTGTTGATTGTATACTTTTGTTGTTTTCATCGTTTTTATGTATAATATAAAGAAAGTGGAATATTAACTTTTGCTTTACTTTCACTAATATCACATTTCTCTTGACACAGTTGCTCAAGCGAGTTTAGCTAATCTACACGGTCAATTATAGACACATGCACTGTCCAACTTTCGAAATTTAGAAAACGGGCGCTTATTAGCTTAATCAATTCATCTACCAAAGAACAGATAAATAAAATAGCGATGGTGTATCACTTATAAACGTTTATCAATGTTTTGACAGTCCCGTAGTAGGTTTATTAAACTCCATTGAGATTTAAAATGGATTGCGGATTGCATTTCAAGTCTAAATTGAAGCCATAGTCGTCGCTTACTTTTTCCTTTAACGGAAACGGTAAATAGAATTATATCGTTTTTCTGTAGTAATAACGAGCAGGTAATATAAAATATAAATACACATCCGCAAGCATGAAGTACAAAACCACAAATAGAAGTAATCGACCGAAAGGCTGGTATATTATAAAAGAAATGAAACACATGCAAGGCTCGCAATTTGCTGCTTCGGTATTTATCTTGAATAACTTGAATGCATCTTATACTTCAAGATCACAGACCGAGATAGTACCTGCATAATATAATAAGCGTTTAACTTTGTTTATAAAAACGTGAAATATCTATTAATTACAAAGAAAGTAGAGCGAAGTAATTAATAATTGCAATGAAAACCATTGCAAATGAGTCATCGTCACGGCGCGGAAAATGATATAGTTCTTGCAGACGAATGTTGTAATGCAATAAAAGCCAAGAGTGAGTTAGTGGTCATAAGACGAGAGTGAGTTAATATTGCAAAAAGCGCAATTCCTTGCAATGTGACACGCGCTATAAAAAGGTGTGAAATACGCTACAAGATCCTGCGGAGGACCTCGCGACGTCAGCATCGCGCTGTGACAAATTTATGACGTCTCCGTTGATTTACGAAGAGTTCTACAAAAACCAACGTATTTATTAGTTTAACCTGAGCTTTTATATGGGAGTTATTTATATTATTTGCGGTCATATATTTACGCTTATTGAACTAGTTTGAAATATTTTCATACTGTAACACGCGGCGCTTAGAAACGTTATGAAAATCTGACACTTATTTAGTTTATTGGTGTCTGCTCCATATAATAAACGACTAATAAATTAAACCATAGCGTATTCCTTTATACCCCCATCCGTCTTATAATTTTTTGGCATTTCGTCTTGATAATAATAACCATTAACTTTCCACCGTTTAAGGATTCCGAATTAAAAAAATTCACTGATTTCACAATCCATGCAACCATCGGAGACATTGGAAATGATAACCGTATAACGCCATATATGTAAAACACAAATAACCCTTATTCACCCGGAATAACTTGCTCCACTCGCTCGCAAGTTCGCTCGTGTCGCAAACGTGAACATTCTGAATAATAAGCGGCGTAACATGCTCGTAATATTATCAAAAGAGGTGTGCATTTAAGGTTCGGACAGACGGACTTTATCGGAAATCCTTAAATGGGGTTTATTTTTTTCAGTGTCGTTAGGACTGCGTAGTTTTGGATATTGGATTTTAAAGTATTCAAAGAATGTTAATTGAGGTGAATTTCGCTTCCATCCTGTTTTTAGAACTGCAGTTTAATTGGCATCAGGTAGGCGTAAACAACATTACTGTAAACAAAAACTAGATGCATGCGAAATTCACCTCAATTAACATTCCTTGACGTAAGCGATACGACCTAGAATCGCTTAACCGTTGCGGTACTTTATTCTGTTCATTCTTATTCGGCACGTCAACAAGAACGCGTTGCAGTTTGTTTTAGAGAATTGTTTATGTTTAATCGACGACGTGACGTAAAAAAAAGTTAACGCTGCATTTAGTGGGGTTAATTACACATCGGAGTAGTAATACCAAATGGACTATATAACAGAATACACCATATCGCGGTAATCGTAAAACCGATTTAAAGAAAATTCAACAGTAGTGTTACCGGAAATCCAGTTTCGATGATACAGTGCGTCTCAAAAAGTTTTATACAAATGGAGAAAAAGGTTTACATTTCATAAGCAAAGTATTCTTGATGAAACTTTCTGCATGACTTTGTAGATCAGCACATTTTTAAAGCATTGACTGGAATTCAGGGAAAATTAAAATCATCGTTTGGAGTGAGCACATACTGATGTAGCATTTGACATTTGTTAACAGTTATTACTTAGATATTCCAAAGCACTACACTACAAGTCATGCAGAGCCCATCAAGAATTCGTTTGTTTGCGAAATGTGTATCCTTTTTCTTTATTATTTTTATATAAAACTTTTTGAGGGAAACTCATATTCTCTAGCTTTAAGGCGTCATCCCTTCAAAAAGTGCCGTACCCATTTGCACCAAGAAATACTATCAAATCCAGAAAACCGAATAAGTAAGGTAAAGTGTTTGATTTGTGTAAAAATACTGATCAGTTCTCTTGCGTTGTTTTTATTTCTATTGTAATTTGGTTCTTTTCTTGTCCTGATTCGTTCAACATTGACAGGGACCTATTCCGGAAGTCGCTCGGATCTTATTGACTGTGGCCATGGAAGCCTCCGCTGTGACATTAATCATTTAGCTTAATACCAGAGGATTCCAATTCTGCAAAACAGACGAGAACAATCCAGATTTTTTTAATTTTGAGCGTGTTACGGTCACACTCCATTAGGATGTAGCGCCAATGCACTCGTACTACGTTTACCTATAGTTGCACGCGCACCTGTATCGCCCTTAACAACTGACCCCCCGCGCGCTACCAGAAGCGACTGGCAGAGGCCGCAAGGAGATCCTTTCTCGAAAAAAAAATGCATTAGCTCTGTTTGCCTAGGGCACACGGTATATATGTATAGTTGTGTGGGTAAATAAAACAATTCTTTGTTAGTGCAGTGAAACTCTTCTCGCTTGAGTACCACCATCAAAACAGCCTCCCCTCTCCAACAACTGGCGCCCAACTAGTAAGACAGACATCACGACTCCACCATGCAGCGGATCCTTTGCGAACTGCACCGCCAGGTTTGACGCGGAAAGCGACGTGCAAGCTTTTATGGACAACATCACGACGTACAAAGACTGCACGGCGGTTTCCGAAGAGAACGTCCTAAGAGGTATGTCGATGCTATTAGAAAGAGACGCCGCCGCAGAAACAACTCCACCAGTTACTTCGCTAGCTATTTGAGACGGAATAGGGCCCCAGTGACCCGGCCGAACTGTTCATTTCGAGAAACTGGCCCTCAACTTGTGATAATCCACACTTATAGTTAGGCAACACACCTTTACATCTGAAACAAAAATATGATATGCTCTGTATATAACCAATCGACCGTTTTGCGCACATGCCGAATACTAGGGGATTTTCGTAACGAAGCTCAGGGGAAAAAAGAATGTGGCAGAAGAAAGAAAATGGAGACGTGGTTGATGGAGGGCATCGCGCTTTCCTGGGTTTTTATTCTTGATTATTTATTTTGTTGTCTTTTGAAGGTGTAATTACAGGTAGTAAGTAGTAACCATTTTATTCTTTCTTGTACTTGTACTATTAATCATTGAATTTTTTGCCACAATTTGATATTTACATTTTGCTGATTTTGCATAAACTGCGATATTTAAATATAGCTTTGTTTTTAGTACCGTTATCTGAATCATGTTTATTGTTTGTTATACTGTACAGGTGATTATGCCATTATTTTGTTTTATTAAGTATTTATTTCTGTATTCATGAGGAGTTGATTATCAGTGCGATGTAGCTCTGTTCGATTGATTCGTAACTATTCCGTGACGGAAGTACCTAATACAGTTCTTGTGCGTTAGCTATATGAAGGGGGGGGGGGGGCTCTCTTATTTGATGTTTCGATGTTTGTGTGTGCGAGTGGTTCAACCTGTCTCCGTGGAGTAATTACCTACTACAGTTCGATCTTTTGCTGTATCTGTTGCCTACTGGTCTCGTGCGGATTGCAATTCTTGGCATCCTAGCAATGCGAGATATTTAGGGGCCCTCTCATTAACATTTTCTCTATTTAAAATATGTTCTGCTTGAGCGATAATCGATTTTCACATGAATACTTGCTATTGGCATTCTCACATGTACCTACTTTTCATGCTAAATTAATTTATGTTAACTGAAGGCCACACCATTTCCGTTTTTCCTCTGTACATGCAATTTATTATTTTACGAGTTGTGTTAGCTCAATTGATCGTACAGGTATTTTGATGTGTATTGAATTGATTTATCATGTTTTCTACTGCACTTATGATGTCTTGTGTGTTTTGTTTTTATGAATTTGTTTAATTGCATTTGATTTGATTATCTGATTTTTATCATACAATTTGAGATGTTTTATTTATGTGTACTTTCTCTTGCATTTCGTTGCTGTAGGTGATTTATTTCATGTATTTGTGTGGCCTATGCCGGGGTTTTTGTCCCGTAAGAGGTTTCCCTGGTATGGTCTTGTTGTATGCGTAATATATTTATTTGTTCTTGTCATTTCTTACGCACAAAAGTTCTGTCTTTTATTTAATTCCCTTCCCGATTATGTCTCATTGTCCAACACATACAAGAACCGATTACACAACGTAGGAGTTCATTGGTGCCACCCATATCGAGCCGACCGCCATCCAAATTCAAAAGTGCCGCGAAACGTCAATCGTTTCGACTTGAAAGGTAGGTGGCTCTGCTCGTGGTTTTTTCCCAGAGTTGCCAACGGTAAGTATAGGGTAAGTCAACGTTTTCAGTGTAGGACCATTACACAATCAATGCTCCTCACTACTCGTAAAACACTGTAGGTAGCTTTTATCAAATATGTTTTAGTTTTATGTTAACTGTCCATTAAGACCTACTAGTGAAAACGAACATCAAAAAGCACACTGTCGAAAAATTACGCCAGTAGTTAGGAGATTGAATTAAAAAAAATTGCTGTGGCTACGACAGATACCACCTGCGCATGCGCGAGTGTATTTCCGTCAAAAAAGTGGTCATTTTTTACCCCAATGCAATACTTCCCTTACTAAGCGCGGGTGCTAAAAATTTATTGAGTCTCCTCTAAAACAAGAACAGTACCATTAAGACTACACAGAATAAAATTTGCTTAGCTTTTGTCAGCTGTAATCAACCATTTTGGTTTACAGACTCATCTTTAATTTTGGATATCCTTTTACGGTTACCTGACAAAATGTTATCTGTTTGAATGTTAACAAACGTATTAAAAGAGTATTTTCTAAAATTCTCAAATTTTGATTACTTAAATCGATAGACGCTTTTTAGATCAATAACACAGGCAATGTTGATATACTTAGTCTCCATAAAAGTTTTAGAATTAAGATAACGTCCGTGTGGCTTTACAAAATACTGGAGGAATTGCTCTAATGTAATTTTAATTCAATTGAGGTAAGACGTGCTAGTAGATAGCAGTAGTGCATTCCTTTGACCTTGTTTCTGCGTCGGCGGACGCTTCCATTCTAGAAATTTACACATTGATTACATTTCTAGAAGGTCCTTAATTGGCTAACTACAAAAGTAGGTAGTAAGTTAACGGTTTATATCCAAATTTAAATCGCTTAGCACATTGAGAACTGGGGGAATTAAAAAAATGAGAAAATACAGAAGCACAAGCAGTGAGTCGTAACCGACTTGAATAACGATAAATGAAATAAATTTAAAAGTTTCCCGGTAGGAGCGACTTGGAAGTCGCGATAACGGATTTAATGAACCCTATCGTCTAACGTTGCGGCTCTGAATGGGCAACTCAGGCCCTGCCGGGGCCCGACACAAAGCCCTGTAATTTATAGCAATGCTATGCGATTGTTGCATGTTCTTGCGGTTTAAATACACACTCCAAAAGCATGTTAAAATATCTAAAGCCGGCCAGGTAAAGCCAGGCTATAATGTTATAAACCCTCCGGAGTAACTAATGGCATTGCTTTTAGATGATTCTAAAAATGCTCTTAAACATTTGACCCTATATTATTCACGCCTGTCATCTGAAATTTAATGAAATATTTTGAAATCTTACGCTCCGACGGTTAATGTGGAAGTCGATTCATGCTATAAGAATCGGAACGGGGTTGGTAATCGAGACATAATAAACATTAGATTGTTCTATTGTGTATTTCTTATTATGGGATACGTTCAAACCCACAATTACTAGTGTTGAAAGTGTTCGCAGTGATTATGTTACGTTTATCATAAAAAATGTTTTTTTCTTTGAATGATTAGGTCGTGGTATAGGTTATTTTGTTTTATTGTATGTTGTTTTTCCATGTTTTTTCTGATAAATCATAATGAACAACGGTTTTTTCTCTTCATTTACACTTTACACACTCAAACAATAACATTTCCATTCGAGTTATTTTATTTGAAATACATTTCCCCATCCGCGTTACTTTCAGCTTCATAGCAAGGAACTAGTACACCGTACGCGACAGTGGCGGATTTGCAGTCTTGGCCGCCCTAGGCCCCAGGCCACGTAGCCGCCCCTGTCTTAGTACAAATCATATAGACTAGGTACATAATGAATTTACTTTATTGCCAACTTTTAAAATCGATTCAGAAATTTTAATTTAGTTAACTCTTAACTATAACAGCTGCTAACTCTGCTATAATAGTTCGTAATACTTTCTAAGGTTTTAGCCAGGTTTTATTTATTTAACTAGTTTAACTATAGGTTTATTCTCATACAGGTATAATAAGTAGGTATTTCACATTGCTACAAAACTCGTCTGCACTTAAGCACAGCAAAATCAGTGAGCAACAACTTTTCACTTTAGAATATTCAGGTACGTACTCTGAGTCTGAGTCATTTCTTGTTATCATCAGTGACGATTGGCCGCCCCTAATCTCTGGCCGCCCTAGGCCCGGGCCTACTGTGCCATATGGAAAATCCGCCACTGGTACGCGACCTTCTTCACTAATATTTAATGTTTTTTAATGCTATGTCAAACTCATGCCAAAGGACGTATCTTTGAAGTGTTTTTCAGTTGTCGACAATAATAATTTGAAACCCGTTAAAAATGTACACTACACAATATTGTGCTATTCTTTTGTTGATATTCAGCGTCATATTATACAGGGTGTCTTATACTGAGTAGGATAACATGGGTATTTTGTTATTATTATACTTACAGATTCGGTTAAATGGGCAAAGTTGTGTAGTTTCTGATGCCAATGGATATTCCGATGCCATCTTTTCAAAAAATAATCGTTTCGTAAATAATTAGAAAAAAGTGAAAATCGCCATTTTTAAAAAGTTCAAATATTTTAGTAACCTATTGAAAAAAGTTTCAAATAAAAGTTGCAAAATTCGATGGGATAAATTCAATGAGTGTAGGAAAACATTTTTCAAAATGGCTGTTTTCGAGATATTGACATCAACTTCCTTATTTTAAATGGACGCCATATTGGATTTTTACGCCACTCGATAGAGAAAAAAATTACAAAACCAGTGCTAAACACTTGGTATTTCATTTGGGAATCAACCTTGCATTTTTGCCTCGAAGTTTACAATGTATTTCTTATGGCAATAATTCCATGGCCGTGTCGATGGTGACTATGCGACACAATAAACGAATGGGTTTGGTTTCAATCATAATCAGCCATGGAATTATTGCCATAAGAAATACATTGTAAGCTTCAAGGCAAAAATGCAAGGTTGATTCCCAAATGAAACCATCAAAGCGATCGGTGTCCATAGGAAGCGGCGTTTTTCAAGGAGAGATAAGATCAATTTGTTACCAGAAGAGAATATTACCCACGTCAATTACTATAAATTATTTTAAATTTTTTGATTTGTATAAAGTAGCGGTCGACGAATTTTAGACATTTGCATATTAATTTTGTTCTAAGTACTTTTAATATTCTCAAAGGAATCGACCTCTGAGAATTATTTGCATGAAACAGATTTTGTATTATATTTATTGATAAGAATGGAATCCAAACAAAGGATTTTGGTTATTTTGTGTCATTGCTTGGAAATTTGCATTTAATCTTAGTATTATATTTGTAACGGGTGGAGTAATGGCCGGTCGAAATTTTGCAAATTTTTCGGATATCGATTTGGATTTGTACTAAAATTGGATAAACCTTTCTTCCTTTTGGGGATAAAACTTTTTTCGCTTTGTAACTATTGTAGTATGACATCATGTTGGGTTCATTGTATTAAACTTCCTTGTGCCGCGATTCGCAATAAATGGGATCACAGAAAATTCTCAGTGCAAAACAGGATGCAGATAACGAATAAATATCGGATTTCTTTAGATAAGTTTTTTTATCATTGAGTCACCAGCCAAGCTTGGGAAAGCTGGTTCTGCAAACGCTGAAAAAATTAGTTGATAAGTATTCCCCAGTTAATTGGTTTAGATGGAGGCCATTGTATGAGAAGTACCAGTAATAAAAAAGATCAGCCATTTTGCAACGATTAAGGGGCGTGAATATGTTAGGAGAGAGTTAAGAGGAAAAAATTTTTAAAAAAGATTGGTACT